TCAAAATTGTTGAAGTAATTCTACAAGTAGCATCTTGTTTGCAACTTGCTGTATGAATGATATGGTGAAGTATCTGGTGTTAGTTAATTCAATTGGCTTGGCAGCTGGTTTATGATTCTAATAGAATTGGTTCAATTTTTGCACTGGCTGACGTTACCATAAAAGAACTCTGCTTCTCAACTCCTACCCTGCCTGAGTTGCAGTGACCATCAGGTTAAAGCATCACTAGTCATCTCTCTCTCTCTTTCTAATGAGACAGCAGCTATATGGTCCTCTTTGACTTTACCTATTAATATTATAAATAAAATCTCTTGGTTCAGCCTTATGAGGCTATGTACCCTGGGAGATGAAATAGACAATGTTTGTTTTTTTAATTCACTCATGGGACATGGACTTACCTGGCTGGGCCAGCACTTACTGTATGCTGCTAGATGCCCTTGAGAAGATGGCGGTGAGCTGCAGTCCATGTGCTGTAGGTGGAAACACAATGCCATTTGGAAGGGAATCCCAACTGCTGACCCAACAACATTGAAGGAATGGCAGTATATTTCAAAGACAGGATGATGAATGGCTTGGAGGTGGTTGTATTCCCAAGTATCTGCTGCCCTTGTCCTTCTATGTGGAAGTGATTGTGGGTTTGAAAGATGACGCCTAAGGAACTTTGATAAATTTTCAGCAGTGCATCTTATAAATGGTACACACTGCTGCTACTGAACATTACTGGCAGAGGGACAGAATGTGGTTCCAATCAAGTGGCTATTTTGTCCTGGATGGTGTCAAGCTTCTTCTGTATATTTGAGCTGCACCCATCCAGGCAAGTGGGGAGTATTCCATCTCACTCCTGACTTGTGCCTTGTAGATGGTGTACAGGCTTTGCAGAGTGAGGAGATAAGCCACTTGCTGCATGATTCCTAGCCTCTCACCTGCTGTTGTAACCACTGCATTTATATCATTAGTCTAATTCAGTTTCTGATAACTGGTATCCCCTGGGATGTTGATAGTGGAAATTCAGTGAATCAAGGCCTGATGATTAGATTATCTCTTATTGGAGATAGTCATTACCTGGCATTTGTGTGATATGAATATTACTTGTCACTTTTCAGCCCAAGCTTAGATATATTCCAGGTATTGCTGCATTTTGAAATGGATTGTTTGAGTATCTGAAGAGTCATGAATGGTGCTGAATATTATGCTATCATCAGTGAAAATCCCACTCTGACCTTATGACAGAGGGAAGGTGGTTCTTGAAGCAGCTAAGATGGTTGGGCCTAGGACACTATCCTGAGGAATTCCTGCAGCGATGTCCTGGAGCTGAGATGACTGATCGTCCAACAACCACAACCATCTTCTAATGTGCTATGACTCTAACCAGCAGGGAGTTTTTATCCTGATTCCTATTGAGTCCAGTTTTGCCAGGTCTTCTTGATGCCACGCTTGGTCAAATGTGGCCTCAATGTCGAGGGTAGTCACTCTCACCTCACCTCAGAATTCAGTTCATTTGTCCATGTTTGAACCAAGTAATGAGGTCAGGAGCAGAGTGGCCCTGACAGAACCCAAACGGGGCGTCACTGAGCAGGTTATTGCTGAGCAGGTGCTGTTTGACTGCACTGTTTGATGACACCTCCCATCACTTTACTGATCATTGAAAGAATACTGATGGACCAGTAATTGATTTGGTTGGATTTGTCCTGCTTTTCCTTTACAGGACATACCTGGGTAATTTTCCAGTTGTCGTGTAGATGCCAGTGTTGTAGCCATATTGGAACAGCTTGACTAGGGCCACAGCAAGTTCTGGAGCACAAGACTTCCAGAATGTTTTCAGTGTCCAAAGCCTTTACAGTATCAGTGCCACTAACCATTAATTGATTTCATGCGAAGACTGGTATTTGTGATGCTGGGGACCTCTGGAGGAGGCAGAGATGGATCATCCACTCAGCACTTCTGCGCTGTATTGATTATTTTTTCAGCAAGTGGTTTATACTTCCTTTATACCTTAGCAATATTTAAAATTCACAATTAATGTTGTGCCAAACCAGCTCTCAGGCAACTGCTACTGAGTTTCTTGCCAAAGAGCACTGAGAAACTCACAAGAGGTCTGGTTACTTTTTTGGAGGATTGGCAAAGGGGGTTACTTTCGATCCAAGAGATATTGGAAGTGTTAAAAATGTTCACTGTGTTTGCAGGGTTCTGTGCAAAAAAGTATCAACCAACCTTTGTCAAAACAAAATGAAGATTGTAGACCTAAGTGTTGAGTATTTCTAGGATCTGCAGTGATCTGCTCTCTTGTTATGCCCTCTGTGCTTGGCAATTATAAGTATGGTTATTTTAAATTAAAATTAGGGTAAAATTTATCACTCTAATTATGCAAAGTGTATTTTTTCTGTCAACAAAGCCTAAGTTTTTTGGGTGTTGCTGTTCAGAACTTGACTTTTCCATTGGTTTATAAATTGAAGGTTCAAAAACCAAGAGGTATTACTAAACCAATATAAAATTGTTTGACCCCATGTGATTATTGTTCCTAGTTTTGGGCACCAGAAGAAGGGGTGCTTGGTGGTGGCAGGGGCCATAAGATGCTTGAAAGCAGGAAATGAACCAACACCCATAATTTCTCTCCCTGGGAACATAAGATACCATATGATCCCATGATGTATAAATTAAAAGACAGAGATTTGGAATAAAAATGGCATTTCTGGATGATAACCTTTAACTAGTAGAGTTCTACAGGGATCAGTGCTGGTTATTTAAAATACAAATGATTCTAATAAGGGAAGTGAATGTACTATCACTAAGTTTGCACATGACACAAAAAGAGTTTGGAAGGCAAGTAGCAAGGATGACAGAATGAGTCTACAGAGGGATATAGACAGGTTAAATGATTAGGCAAAAAACTGGCAGATGGAATATAATGTGGGAAAATGTGGAGTAATACACTTTGCAGGTTGAATAGAAGAGTTGAATATTATTTATTTGGGAAAGATGCAGAAAGCTGCAGCATGGGATGATTTTGAGGGCCCCAGTGAATGAATCATGAAAAATTTAGCGTACAAGTTCAGCAGACAGTAGGAAAGGCTAATGGACTGTTGGTCTTTATTTCACCAAAAATGGAGCCTAAAAGTAGGGAGGTCTTACTAAAACTCTACAAGGCATTAGTCAGGCCATACCTGGAATACTGTAAACAGTTTTGGTCCCCTTATCTAAGGAAAGATATACCGGTATTGGAGGCAGTCTGGAGAAGGTTCACTAAGCTGATCCTGGATACTGAGGGATTATTTCATGAGGAGAGGTTGAGTAGGTTGGATCTTTGCTCTTTGGAGTTCAGAAGAGTGAGAGATGGCCTTATTGAAACAGAAAAGATTCTTAGGGGCTTGACAGGGTAGACGCAGAGAGGTTGTTTCCCCTTTTGGAAATGTCCAGGACCAGAGGGTATAATCTCAGAAATAAGGGTTTGCCCATTTAAAACAGAAGATTTTTTATCTCTAAGAGAGTGGTCAATCTGTGAAATTCTTTACCACTGAGAGTTATCAAGTATGTTCAAGGCTGAGATCAACATATTTTTAATCAGCAAAGCAATCGAAGTTCACGGCGATAAGGAAGGCTAGTGGAGTAAAGGATTATCAAATAAGATATGATCTCATTGAATAGCAGAGCAGATCTTTTGGGGCGAATGGCCTTCTTCAGTTCATGCCCTGATTAGGGGGTCGGTTAGCTCAGTTGGCTCGTTTGCAAAGTAGACTAATGCCAACATCATAGGTTCAATACTTGTACGACTGAAGGACTCTCCCTCCCAACCTCTCCCCTCGCCAGAGGTGTGATCTTCAAGTGAAACCACAGCAGTCGTCCCTCTCGAAAGAAAGAGCCCGCCTTAGGTAAGACTGTGAGATAGTAGGAACTGCAGATGCTGGAGAATCCGAGACAACAAGGTGCAGGGCTGGATGAACACAGCAGGCCAAGCAGCATCATAGGAGCAGAGAGGCTGACGTTTCGGGCC